TGGATTTATAGAAAGAGCTTGGGCTTTGACGGTGTTGATTCTAGGCACTTGTGAGTCACAGGCTTGAACATAACAGCGGTAATCTAAACGACTTCGTAGGTATTTGGGCCATTCTTAAGTCTGACCGGTCTATGGCGAGGTTTTCTCAGGCCACCGGGTCGATTTGCAACCGTTTTAGAAAGTTATTTCAGCTGTCACTGCATTTGAGAAAAAGACGACTCGATCGCTGGGACAATACCTTTATTCGCCTGACGTTTCGATATTCGTCCCGGATTTGTCCTCAGAGACAAAGTCAGAGAGCAGTATTGTCATTGTGTCCTCACTATCGGCGATTACACGTAGCGATGTCTTCACAGAAAGGTCGCTGGGGTATTCATTCGTCGTCATTCCTTTCCAGATGGTAGTCCCATCGCAGTTGTATTTGACTCAGCACGGTGGGAATGCTGAGCATTCTGGTCTGCTCTAAGAATTCCCTCTCTGGTATCCTGTCCTGTTATCTCAGTTCAAATATTATGCGTGGTAGCATAACCCTCCCTTTTGCCTGTAGTTGACAGTCGGCAAAGGTCGCTTCGGCTGCTCTGCGGTTATATCGAAAGCCATATTGGATTATCCGGCGAAGTCTCCTCTCCAGGGGATAGGTAGGACGATTAAGAACAATGCAAGCGAAGATCATCTGGGAGGTGTTGAGTAGAAATATGACTGTGATTATAATAGAAGTACCGGCTCCCTTTCAGCATGAAGAGATCAACAATGGTCCTGAGGAAATTGTATTTGGTAGCACATCTCCTGGAATCTCGTTGTTTGTTCCGACACAAGCCGGGAGACATTGTGTTCATATATTTCTTTCGGGACAGCCAAGGATCCATTTGCAGATGATTAATGAGCGATTGAAGACAACCCTGATATGTTCAACTGAACACTCGAGACTTTGTGATTCCTCCACCAGAGGTTTTATGCCATCAGAGCCGAGCAGGTACTCATAACCTTGATGGGCTGTCCGCTGTTGCCCTAGGTGAATTGGAAGATATGTCGGCCCATGCAGTCCGTGGACCCTTTGATGTCCCCGGTATTTTGGGACACTCGGGCTTTTTGCATCCCCTGCAGTAGTTTCTGCATAGAGTTGTGGCATCACGTGAAGGTCGTTTCGCTTGCGCCAGTCTGGTAGTCTCTGTAGGTTCTGTGTGGGTGGTTCTTCTCGAAGAGTAGGTTGCTTATTTTGGTGTCATTATTTTCGAACCATTCCGGCTGTTGACGGCGTACAAATCGGAGAATCGGAGATGCAGTGGATGACGTGCCACAGTTGACGTCATAAAATATATACGATGACGTTATTTGCTGAAGACTGCTGGTGCACCAGTTTTTGTCTAATTGGTGATTGAACTAAAAACAGTGGGCAAACAAATCGACAAAATAAAATCTAATTAACCTGGTTGTAGCTTACTTTGTGGTCTTCCGCGGCGCTAACTTTCGAGCTGTATGTTGGGGATGACAATGCCACGATTGTCTCAGCCATCGACGTCGCGGATCACCTTGATTGTCTG